AGTTAAGAAGGATGTTCAAGCAAATGCAACCAAGACTACAGAGACAGAGGAGAAGATACAAAAAATAGAAGAGAAACAAGATTCTTTGACTCAACAAATTACAAGATCAGAGACAATGATGGAGTTCAGAAGGATGCAGACTCATCTGAGATTCAGAGGCATTAAGGAAACAGAGAATGAGAACTTAAAAGAAAAAATGATGGAAGTGATAACGGCTTTTCTGGGCGAGGAGGAAGGGTCAATGGACTCAGACTTTGATTTGATTTATAGAGTGAACTCCAGAATTGCAGAAAAGAAGAATTTACCAAGGGATGTAATTGTACAATTTGTAACAAGATCAATAACAGAGGAGATATTCAAGAAGCAATTCAACGTCCCTTTTGTAATAGAGGGAAACAAAATTATGGTGATGAGAGAACTCCCAAGAACAATACTGCAAGACAGGAAAAGGTATAAATCCTTGGCGGACAAACTCAGAGCTTTGAGCATCAGATATAGATGGGAGATTCCACAAGGTTTATCCTTTACGTATCAAGGTGGGAGGATTCAGATCAGATCGATGATGGACTTTTATAAATTTAAGGCGGACAATGCGGACGTCTTTGGAGAACTTTAAAATAAAACGCATAATGGAGTACAAATTGTTGTCATGGAATGTTAATGGATTAAATTCACCAAACAAGAGGAAAAGAATCAATCATTGGATACAGAAACAGAAATGCAACGTGATATGCTTGCAAGAAACACATATTAGAAAACAGGATATAAAATATTTAAAGAATGCTTTATTTGGAATTGAATTTTGTTCTGCGGCCTCAAACAAGAAAAAAGGAGTTGTGACATATGTGAAGAAGGAGTTACAACCTACAGAAATTTTTAAGGACATAGATGGCAGATACGTGGGTGTGGAATTAATGATTCAGCAGAAAAAAACATTGTTGATCAACGTGTACGCACCCAATGGAGCAAAGGAAAAATTTTTTAAGGATATAACTGACCAATTACAACAATTGACTTATGAGCAAGTTATTATGGCCGGAGACTTTAATGGGACAATAGATCGTCTAGACAGAAAACCACAAAAGGACAACGAATTCAGCGGAAAATTGCCAAAGAATTTTTTTGAATTAGTTAAGCAAGAAAAATTAGAAGATGTTTGGAGGAAATGGAACCCGATGCAGAAAGACTTTACTTTTTATTCCAATAGACATTGCTCTTTTTCCAGAATTGATATGATTTGGATGTCTGAAGAATTATCAATGAAAACACATAAGACTGAAATTTTGCCAAGATGTAATTCAGATCACAATCCGGTGGTATGGAGTTCCACAGAAAGGAAAAAACCCTTTCTGTGGAGGATTAATGAAGACTTGTTGGATAAGAAAACGGTAATTGAGATGTTAAAGGAAGAAACGAAACAATTCTTTCAACAAAATTTAAATAAAGAAACACCGATACAGATTGTATGGGATGCTTATAAAGCGGTGATGAGAGGAATTCTCATCTCGCAAAACGTGAAGCAAAAAAAGGAAAAACTTCAAAAACAAACAGAAGTGTTAGAAAAAATTGCTCAGAAAGAAAAGGAATTAAAAAAGAAGCCTGGAAAAAAGCAAATTATTAAAGAATTAAAGTTGCTGAAGGAACAACTGAATGAGACTTGGAATCAGGAAATGTATTGGAATTTAAAGAAGTTACAACAGAAATCTTTTGAAGGGGCGAACAAACCGGGAAAATACTTAGCTTGGCAACTTAAGGCTAGAAGAGAGAGAAGAATGATAACCAAAATAATAGAAGATGGAAAAGAGTTCGTTGATCCTAATGGAATAAAGAGATGTTTCTTCAAGTATTATGCTAAACTATTCCAAACAACTAGAGTTGATCTTGAGAAGATTAAAACATATTTAAAGGAGATTCCACTACCAAAAATAAGTAAGGAATACAAAGATTTATTAAATGGTCCAATTCAAAAAGAAGAAGTGATGAAGGCAATAGAAGAGACAAAGTTGGGGAAGGCGCCTGGGCCGGACGGATTTACAGCGAAATTCTACAAAAAGATGAAAGAAGAAATTTCCCCGGTCCTGGAAGCTTTAACCAACGAAATAAGAGAAAACAAAAAGGTGCCGGACTCATGGAAAGAAGCAATTATTTCTTTGATTCCAAAGGAAGGACAAGATTCAACAAATGTAAAGAACTACAGGCCAATATCTCTTTTGAACAACGATTATAAAATCTTTGCAAAAATTATTGCAGAAAGGGTGAAAAACTATTTACAAACGGTAATTTCTGAAGATCAAGCGGGCTTTTTACCCAAAAGGCAGATTAGAGACAATGTAAGAATAGTAATGGACGCAATTGAATATTATGAAAAGCACCCAGAAAAAGAAGTAGCTTTTCTGTTTGTTGATGCAGAAAAAGCTTTTGACAATCTTAATTGGAATTTTATGCACCAGATGATGGAAAAGATTGAAGCGGGACAACATTTTAGAAATTGTATTGAAGCTATCTATTCTGAACAAAGAGCTAAAATAAATGTGAATAAAGAACTGACAGATAACTTCAAAGTACAGAAAGGAACAAGGCAAGGTTGTCCGTTATCACCGTTATTATTTATCTGGGTATTGGAAATACTTTTACAAAAAATACAGTACGATCAAGAAATAAAGGGCTTGACACATAAAGGACACCAATACAAATATCGAGCATTTGCAGACGATGTAATGTTTATGGTGGAAAACCCAACAGAAAAATTGACATTGCTTTTTCAAAAAATAAAGGAGTTTGGAGAATTGGCCGGCTTTTACGTAAATAAGAATAAAACAAAACTTATATGTAAAAACATGATCAAACAAAAACAAGTGGAACTACAAGAACTGGTACAATGTGAAGTAGTTAAAAAAACAAAATACCTTGGAATTGAATTAACGGCAAAAAATATAGACCTATATAAGAATAATTATGAGAAATTATGGACTAAGCTGACTCAAGATTTTAAGAAATGGGATAAAATGAACTTATCACTGATGGGAAGAATATCAGTTATAAAAATGAATGTCCTACCACGTTTGATGTTCCTGTTCCAAACAATACCAATTCTGCATAAAACGGATTTGTTGGCCAAGTGGCAACAAGAAGTGTCAAAATTTGTTTGGGCGGGCAAGAAACCAAGGATTAAAATGAAAATACTTTGTGATGCCAAAGAAAGAGGAGGTCTACAAATGCCAAATCTTAGACTATATTATGAAGCGGTTTGTCTAACATGGATGGAACAATGGGTGAAGCTTGAGAATGACAGATTGTTGGGGTTGGAAGGACATGATTGTAGATTTGGCTGGCATGCATATTTATGGTATGACAAGATAAAAATGGATAGTTTTTTTAAACTTCACTTGGTGAGAAAAGCTTTGTATATGGTATGGACGAGATATAAGAAATACCAGAGTGACTTAAGACCATTGTGGATTGTACCAGTAGAAGTGTTGATATCTTACTCAAGACAGCGAGGTAAAGACTGGTTGCCATATAGAGACTTAATTAAAAAAGAGGGAACAGAATGGGTAATGAAAAAGCAGAATGAAATTGAATATGAATATGAGTGGTTGAAATATATGCAGATCTATGATCTTTTTAGATCAGACAAAAAAAATTATGGTTTTAGAGATGAAAAAAATGAGATGGAAAATGTATGGGAGAGTGGAGGGGGAAAAATATCTCTAAAATGTATAAGGTATTGTTAAAATGGTATACAGAAGATGAAAAAGTTAAAGAACAAATGATAAAATGGGCTATAAATATGAATAAGGAAGTGTCTATGGAAACTTGGGAGTATTTGTGGAAGAATTCTATTAAGATATCGCCTTGTACCAATGTAAGAGAGAATGGTTATAAAATGATGTATAGGTGGTACATGACGCCTAAGAAAATTGCAAATATGAACCAAAATATGTCAAATAAGTGTTGGAAGTGTAAGAGTCATGAGGGCTCATTTTACCATATGTGGTGGACTTGTGAGAAAGCTGTAGACTTTTGGACAAAAGTCCACAATGAAATGCAAAAAATTTTGAAATGTTCTTTTAAGAAAGCTCCAGAAATTCTGCTTTTGGGACTTAAAATGGAAGAAGTTAATACGACTAAAAAGACATTACTCTGGTACCTGATAGTAACAGCAAGAATGATTTATGCCCAATTTTGGAAGACAGAGAAGGTACCAGAGATCGATGAATGGATACAAAAAGTTCTGTTCATGGCACAAATGGACAAAATTACAAAAAAATTGAACAATAAAGAAGATGATGTGTTCTTTGAGGAATGGAGTGACTTTAAAATTTATCTGGAAAAGAACTGGGATGTGAAACAAAACTTAATATGTTTAGATCAATATTAAGACAAATGATGTTATCTGGAGATTGTAATTGTTATGATATAAAAAATGATATAACTAAATGATGTATAAAATGGGTGGGAGGAAGCATTGCGGGAAGCCACAGAAGGGAGGGGAGGAAAGGGGAAGAGGGTAAACAATGGAAAACGTGAAAATGTTTAAATTTTAAATGGTGAATTTCCTATGAAAATAAAATTTTGTTTACCAAAAAAAATATATGTTTTTTTGAGTACACAATAAATTCAACTGCATCTCAGTCTCAGTAAAAGAAACACATCCCTCGACATCTTGCAAAGTGTTCTCCATTTGCTTTTGTTGATCAAGCCATATTATTCCACCCTGGGATTTAAACTAGTATCATGTGCTGACAAGGGGTACACTTTGACACAGAATATGTTTTTTTGAGTACACAATAAATTCAACTGCATCTCAGTCTCAGTAAAAGAAACACATCCCTCGACATCTTGCAAAGTGTTCTCCATTTGCTTTTGTTGATCAAGCCATATTATTCCACCCTGGGATTTAAACTAGTATCATGTGCTGACAAGGGGTACACTTTGACACAGAGGCCCAGAGACGATTTTGGTGGAGCTCAATGCAGACACCCAGAAACTATGATTACCTGATGTAAACCTTATGTCATTGCACCAGTCATCTGGATATTCAGCGCAGTAAACCATGTAGTAACCTTGAAGGAAGCCATTATAGACACAGAACAACATGCCGGAAAGCAGTGTCTGCAATGGGAAAGGTCTGCCTCTTGTGAGTAATGAGTAAATGAATGTCCTGAGGGAGACAAAAAAGACACAATTTGATACCAAGTGAAATAGATTTTCAGTTTCCTAGTAGTCTCAGTATGCTACCACGTATCAGGAAATTCATTCATCAGCCCTCCCCTGGAGATTGGCAACAACGGTTCCCCAGGAGGAACTGGCTGGTTTGGAGCCCAGCCAACGATCAACCTACCTTTATCTGCCCCTCTGACTTCAGCTTTCAATCTCCCACACACACACCTGCAGCCTCTAACTAGGAAAAGTACAGTCTTCCTTCTCTGTAGTAGGGACCCAAGCAGGAGGGGAAGCAACCTCAGCAGGGTATAATGACACAGAGGACACCCTGCAAAGCAGTCATTTTCTCCAGGGGAACTGATCTCTGCCATCTGGAGAGCAATTTTAATTCTGAGTGATCTCCAGCCCTCACCTGGAGAATGGCAGCAGTAGTTCCCCAGGAGGAAATGGCTGGTTTGGAGGGTGGAGGCATTGTACCTGTGTGATGTCCCACCCTCCTCAAACCCCACCCTCTCCAAGCTCCACCCCTCAAATATCCAGGAGTTTCCCAAACTGGACGTGGCAACCCTATCTCCTTCCCAGCCAACCATCAACATACCGTTATCTGCCCCTCTGACTTCAGGTTTCCATCTCCTCTCCCCTCCCTGTAGCCTCTACCTAGGAAAAGTACAGTCTTTCTTCATGGTGGTGACCAAAACCGCTCACATCATTCTCCTCCCCCCCTTTTGAATTGCACAACAACCCTGTGAGATAGCTTAAGCTGATAGTCTGTGAGTGGACTGAAATCACCCAATCAGCTTCCACTGGAAGAACCTGGGTCTAGCAGACCCTGCTCTGAAGCACTAACTGCTACTACACACTGGCTGTCATGGGGGGGGTACCTCAGCAAAGTATAATGGCACAGAGCCCACCATTTTTTCCAGGGGAACTGATCTCTGCCATCTGGAGAGCAGTTGTAATTCTGAGTGATCTCCAGCCCTCACCTAGAGATTGGCAGCAATGGTTCCCCAGGAGGAAAAGTACAGTCTTTTTCCACACGGGAGATCAAAGCCGCTCACATTATTCTCCTCTGCCCCTTTTGATGTGCACAACAACCCTGTGAGGTAGGTTAGGCTGAAAGTCTGTGTGATCCGAAATCACCCGCTCAGCTTCCACAGCAAGAACCTGGGTCAGGCAGACCCTGCTCTGAAGTGCTAACTGCTACACCTAGGGTAGCCAACTTCCAGGTGGAGCCTGAAGATCACTGGGTATCACAACTGAACTCCAGACAACTGAACTCCCCCCCCTGAGAAAATAACTGCTTTGGAGGGTGGACTCTATGGCATCCTATTCAGCTGAGGTCTCTCCCCTCCCCAAACTCTTGCTTCCGTAGACTCCTCCAAAAAATATCCAGGAATTTCCTAACCTGGAGCTGGCAACCCTAGTCAGGACTGGCCCCAATGAGTTCCCCACAAAGGCCAAAGGAGGCTTGGAAAGAGCGTCCTGCCTTTGCCTTTTTACTGACAGAACCAAGCTTGGTTGCTTAGCAGCAGCCACTGAGGGAAAAGTTAGCCCCACGGCAGAAGGAGAAGAGAATGGTCTGACAGCCGGTGGCCCACCTCAGTAGCCAGCCTGCAGCAGAGGAGCCAAACAGAAGCAGAAGCATCTTTGTCAGGAGTCACAACTGTTTTGGCAGTTTATTCTGTCAGGGAAGAGTGTCCAGGCTGGCAGTGGGCGGGGGAGAGGATTGGACCCAGCACCCAGTCAATTGTGGCTGTTGAGTGGCAGTTGACTGGCCAATGGCTGATGGAGTGCACAGCACAGCCAATGGGAGAGCCGGGAAGTGCCAATACGTAGGGCAATTATATATATAGGATATCTCTCTTCTCCCTCATGGTGACCCAAAACAGCTCATCACTTTGTTCTCCCCTCCTCCACTTTATCCTTACAACAGCCTTATGTGATCGGGTAGGCTGAGAGTTTGTGATAGGCCCAAGGTCACCTGACAAGCTTTAAAGACAGATCTGGGATTCAAACTTGGTTGTCCCTGGTCGACACTCTAACTACTACACCATGCTGGCTCTCAGAGTGACTTGTACTGAAATACTGCTCACATGAGCAGTCTACTGGTATCTGTAAACTTATGTAAGATCACAAATCTTTTTTACAAAAATAAAATCTGCAAGTTGCACTGGGCAGTTTTCACTTAAGTCAGCCACTGACATATCTTTGGTCCTCTGTATATGCAACAGTACTGAATTTCTGATGTGCACTGTTACAATTATTCCTGCATCCTTCTCAGATTGATTTGACAAATGGTCACCAATACGACTACGTGAAAGAACTGGAGATATTCCCTTGTTAACTTGATCTCTGGAGTTAAATCTACTTCTACAGGCTCTGACATCTTTCTTTCCCCTGGAAAGTAGGCAAAGAGTTATCTTTGTAGGAATGTATTGTGTTCTAATAGAGAAATTAGCGCAACTGCAGACAAGAGGTTCGACACTTAAGGTCCTGCTTGTCTTGTCACATTCCTGCCTAACAAAGGAGATCCCAGTGACAACAACCTCTAGTGAAGTTTAATCCTTCTTGCTTTCCAATTAGTACCATTTGTATCTATTTCTGGTGTTCTTTGATTATGCAGCTATGACTACTTCTTAGATAAATCTTCCCACCTAGGCCCTCCAGACATTATGGTTTTTAGTGAGTTGTGTCTGGGTTTCCGACTCATGTTCCCTGCCATCACACAGCAGCTGCAGGGAACATAATTTTAAAGATCAGAGGGATCCCGTTTCCACTTAGGACTGTGTTGCTGACTGTGGCTCCTGCCTCCCCTCTCATTGTTTTAAAAAGTTGAAATCCTGCCTCCACTAGGGACCTTACATAACCTTGGAGTGATTTATGTTCCGAATACTCTACATGCTGCTCTAAAATTATGTAAGTAACTCACTGCTGAGGGGCATTTCAGCTTCTCAAATGGTATAGTGGGAAGCAGAAGCCCCTCCCTCTCCAAGCCAAAGTTGCAAATGAATAAAGGAACCCCCGATCCTTAAAATGACATTCCTTGCAGCCGCTGTGCGACTGTAGGGAACACAAGTTGGACTAAGGAAACCCAAACCCAACGCCAAAAAAGTAACATTTAGTTTGGCCCTTATTTGCAGAAGTTCCCAGGATCTGTGAACAACCTCTGACCCCATCTTCCACCCAATCAGAAGACTTGATTCTGAGATCACTGGCATTCCTCTTACCTTTTTAAGCACAGGAAAATTACATGATTTTAATTTTAATAATAATAATAATAAAGAGCTAATGAATGTGAGCTGACAAAATACAGAAAATACAAAATACAGAAATGGATTATAAGCAATAAAGAAAGCATCAGCACTTTGTTGGGTTTTTTGCTAATTTGGAGAGGTAATTACAGATTTTCCACATGTTCATACTATATGCTGATTGTAATTTTTGCTATAGATTTCTGGTGTTGAAATGTCAAGATATGACAGATTGTGCTGCTACTAAACTAAATGTTATTAAAGGTTTGTGTGCCAAATTCTTCTGCAAGTAAATTTAATAAAGCCAATTTGGCATGTATTAAATTCAATTTCAACATTTTATCTCATCATATAGCTGTTGCCTGAAGGTATTTGTGTTGTTTTTTGCAGCTCCATCACATGGGAAACTATCAACCTATGTTATTATAGCATCTCCAGCCTGGTGAATAGAATGTCTTATATTTTTTATTGGAGATGCCCTCAGTGCAATATGTTCTTATTGCTGCAGAAATTTATTTTAAGGGATATGTCTTCCAGATGGCTTCCCACACTTCAGCTGGTGTTTCTGAACCCAAATCCCTTTCCCAAAGCGTGGCATAATGCTCTAGTATCACTATAAGTAATTTTGATTAGAAATGTATAAATGTTTGAGCTAGCTCTTTATTGTGGGCTGGACTTGACTGAATCAGTTTGAAACTAGTTTAGATGGCAGTTGATTTGCTGTGATATCATAGGATACGTGAAAAAATGTTGAATCGGTGAATTCCCAGTTTTGATATTGCTGATATTTGTCTTGATTAGGTGACCTAGGAAACATATAGAAGGGAAAATACAAGGAACTGATTTTTCTCTCTAAGATCTTCACATAAGGAATCTGCAACTGGTAAATGGATCTAGTCCCGCCTTTTCTGTGACAGAGTCCATGTCTGTTTCCTGTGATCCCTGGCCTAACCTTCATGTGTTGTAATCCAGCCTCCAACTTCATCCAGGCTGCCTGCTCACAAATGTCACCAAGGTCATTCCATGCTGCAGAGATGTCCACCAACAATGTTGATTATGGGTGCAGCAGGCTATGGCCATGCTGCCAGGGTTCATCCACAAAATGGTACCCAAGTCCAGATGAGTCTGGAACTTGCACCATGGGCTCCCCAGCTTGCAACCCTTCAACAGGCATTTACCAAGGATTGATTCCCCCTCCCCCCCATTAACTCAGGGTCAGGAAAAGGTTTCCCAGCTGTGGAAGTTGGAGTACTTGGTTGGAGGAGACAGTGTCCACATGAAGCATCCCTAAATCAAGAACTTATCAAAACTTGGGGCCAATGTGGAAAATGAAAACCCTAGACGTTCCAAAGCAAAGAAGAACCAATTGTTGGCTACAGCCAATGGGACTGTATAAGGTATTTCACTCCACTGTTAGTGACAATATATAACATGGTTATATCATTGTGCTGTGACCTGTTTCTGGAACGGCACAAGGATGTAACCCACAATCTTTTCCCTCATATGCAGAGAAAGGCAGGTTTTACATTAGAGGGCAAAAATAAAAGTTTAGTTTTACTTGTGCTGCAAATGAGACCATCAGCCTTTCTACTCTTATCAGCAGCTTGACGAGGATCTCAAGTCTAACAGCTGGATGTTCTCTCACAAGAAACAAAACAGTTTAATGTAATTTTCAAAATGGAACTTCCAAATAGATGTGTTAGTATTGGACTGCAAATTTGGACTGGTTTAGCTATCAAAGTTCTCA